GAGATATATTCCTAAATGCCTGTGAAGTTCTGTATATATTCAGCTGAACCTTGTATATTTTTGTCTATATACATATCTACAATATTTGGTTTTTAAAATTAAAACAGAATAAGATTAATAATAACTAATAATAAAACAAAACAGTTGTATACTTTAATAGCAGTTATATGAATGTTGGTCCCTGTCTCATTCCCAGCTACTACAATGTTGGTAGCATATACCACATGGATACAGTGAACAGGAGGATGATTCATGTCCCATGCCAGAATGAAATGACATGGAGAGATTTTATCACAATACTCAAAATGATAATTGAAAATTCGTAAGGTTTTTTGTTTCTAGAATTTTCCATGAATATTTTCTTATCTTGGTTAATTAACTGAAACCATAAGAAGTACAACCATTGATTAGGAATCTACTGCACTTCCTAATCCTCTTTGGAGCTGGATTCTTCTGGCTGGGAAATATATTAGGAAGGTATACTATTGCATGAGTCTAGCCTTATGGTGAACTTATGAGAAACCGAAGGTTTTTTCAAAGAGGACGGGCCACATATGAAGTATATACCACTTGTTAGATGCTTATCTTAGGTTAAGAACTGGGCTAAGTATGACCCTGATACCTATTATTTCATATAATCCTTAAAACAATACTCCAACCTGGGTGCTGTTATAATCCTTGTACAGATTAGGAAAGTGAGGTAAGAACACAAACTGCTTGCCCACCCTCACCCAGTGAATAGAAGCCATATTTTAGTCAACTCTGCAACTGTTTCGTCCATCCTACCCCCTTACCCAGTATGTCTATGGCTCTCTGAAAGGCTAGTGTTGAAGGAGATGTGGCCTAGGATGTTATCCTCAGGTCACAATGACAGAATTGTAACTTGGGAAGTTACACAGTGTGCCGGGGCACTTTGGTGTCAAGATGAAAACCCTGTCTTCTGGCTGCTACTCAAGGGCTCCTTCTTTTGTCCATGGCTGACTTGTTCATGAGCACAACATCCACAGCATACATGGCTGCTTCTTCCATCCCTTGCTGAGAGAACCACCAAGCCCCAGCAGGACTACAGTCTTCAATTTACAGCCTTGTTCTGTTTTCGCCTGGGTTACTCAAAGGTCAGTCAGATTAATGGATGATGGTGGCTCTGTAGCCTATGTTCAAGTTAAAAGGCACAATGACTGCCAGGGTTTCGTTTTGAGAAAGAGCTCTGATTGGAACCAGAACGCTGTTCTAGGGACAGCTCTGATTGGTTTTAGAGAATGGATCAGCTACAATTGAGAAAGACAGTGCATGGGGGAAAAAAAGGAAACCTAAATTCCAAAATGGATTTCTGAGAAGTAGAAAAGGTATCTCTGAAACATTTCACCAAAGTCTTCTGAGGCCATTAAGAGAGTGCCCAGGTAGAACCCAAAAGTACATTAATGGTTATTGTTACATAGCAATTGACTTATAGTGTTACTCTCCACCTAACTTGAATCACATTGAAGCAGGTATTTTGAAAATTAGATACAAGCATTCTGGGTTAAAAATGGGTTGTCTGATTCCCCCAGTACAACCTCCTGCCATCTCCCAGTAAAACCTTTGAAGACAGAGAAAATGTTACAGTTACAATTTTAAATCTTTGAACAAAGACTGACAAGTGACAGCTAGAATCTAGGACAAGATGACAACCAGCTGAATGTCAGTGAAACTGCCCCAGGAATGTAGATTTTTGTCCTCTTGTTCTGATATTGGGAACAGGGTAATGCAGTTAGCTGAAAACAAAGTAGTAATAGCAGAAATGAATGCTCATCTAATGCTGACTGTCTATAGCATTTTGCATGAACCAAGCCCCAGAACTTCCTAATGACTCTGACACGGGCACTGTCATGTCTTCATTTTCCAAATGGAAACCGAAGTGCAGAAAGGCATAGGCCAGCAATTCATGGAGTCAAGATTATAGTTCATGTTTGTTATGTAGGTCAGCCTTCCTTATGGGCCAGCTTCAGAGATAAAAGGAGTTCCAAGCTGTCTGGGAAGCCATGTCTCTACACTGTCCAGTGATGACAAAGAATGATGTTGAAACTTCAGTACCAAACAGCAAAACATTAATGGAGGATTAAGCCCAAGGCCAAGACCATAGATGCCCAAGTCCCTCATGTAGAGTGCTGTGATATTTGCATATAACCTGAATCAACCTCCTATATAGTTTAAGTCATTTCTAGATTCCACATAATACCCAATATAACATAAGTATTTTTTTACTTTTTAAAATTATATAAGAAACAAACTTGTTTTACTTGTCAATCCCAGTTTTCTCTACCTCCCTTCCCCCCTGCCCCCACCAGCCTCCCTATTCCATCCCCTTTCTGCTCCCCAGGAAAGATAAGGCCTTCCATGGGGGAATCTTCAAAGTCTGTCATATAATTTGGAGCAGGGCCTAGACCCTACCCTGTGTGTCTAGGCTGAGAAAGTATCCCTCTATGTGGAGTGAACTCCCAAAGTCCATTCGTGTACTAGGGATAAATACCGATTCACTACCAGAGGCCCCATAGATTGCCCAGACCTCCAAACTGACATCCACGTTCAGGGGGTCTGGATCGGTCCTATGCTGACTTCCCAGCTATCAGTCTGGGGTCCATGAGCTCCCCCTTGTTCAGGTCAGCTGTTTCTGTGGGATTCTCCAGCCTGGTCTTGACCCCTTTGCTGATCACTTTGCCCTCTCTGCAACTGTGTTCCAGGAGTTCAACTCAGGGTATAACATAAATATTACATATAAATAGTTGTCTCTTACATTATTTGAGATATGGCAAGAAAAATTATCTGGGCATTCTCAATACAGAACACATTTTTTCCCTCAAATAGCTTTGCTCCTTGGCTGACTTTGTGATTTGGAACACTTAGACATGGACAGCAGATTTTTGTATCTATGAACACCTTGCTCATTTCCCAAATATATTGATTTATAATTTGGAAGGAATATGAATTTAATTACAGATAGCTGAATAAAAGAATTTGTTTTAGATTTCAACTAAAGGTTTAAGAAATTCATGTGCTTTAAGGTACATAAGACCAGCAACAGTGGGAAGCTAGTGCCCCCACAGGCCTGGAGGGGGTGTGGGAGGTTTTTAAATGGGGGGGGTTGCTTATAGGTACATGTGTGTGAAGTACATTTTCTGTCCTTTATGTTTTCTACTTTACAGGGATTCTGGCTAAGTGTACTAAGTGTGGAACTTGCTGATTCAGCTAAACTGGCTGGTCAAGAGGTCCCAGGGAGCCTTCTGTTGCCTTCTCAGTACCAGGGCTAGAGGCTCACACTCTCACACTTTTTTTTTTGGTTTTTTGAGACAGGGTTTCTCTGTGCTTTGGAGGCTGTCCTGGAACTAGCTCTTATACACCAGGCTGGTCTGGAACTCACAGAGATCCGCCTGCCTCTGCCGCCCGAGTGCTGAGATTAAAGGCGCCCAGCTTACACTGCCCCTCTCTACATGGGTTTTGGGGTGCTGAGCTGAAGTCCTCACACTTATGAGGGAAAGCTTTACTTACTGAAACACTATCAGACTCTAACGTATGGTGGTTTTGAAGTGTGTTCACAAATTTTTCTTTTTCAGTACTCTTCTCTTGAATTCTTCTCTGCCTGGGTGGCCTGGACTTGACTCTGCAGTAATGGTTAGTGCATGTAAAAGGTCCATGACTTCCCTCTTGTTCTCTCTCTTAAGCACTATGTTCTTGGAGTAGGGAGGAATCCTCTACTATTCACTTCAGTACCCCCAGTGTACCTAGGACAGGATCCTGAGGCCTCTGCCAGGGACCGTGTGACTGCTCTTGAATCAGCCCCAGTGACCTTGATCACTGCAGTCTCAGCAGTGACCTTGATCAGCATTTCACGACAGACTCCAAGCCAGAACCACCAAGCTAAGCAGCTTCCAGACTCAAGAAAATGTGTGAAGATAGATGCTTGTCATCAAACTGGAGGAGGGATAATTTGCTGCGTTGCAACAGATACTTAATCCATGGAGAAAAGTATTTCTAAAGAGGTGAATGCTTCTGTTGAAGAACTGGTTCCAAGCAAGGGCTGTTGACACTGAGGATGCTGTTGACACTGAGGATGCTGTTGTGGCTAGAGCAACATGGTCCAGGCTAGCAGAAGAAAATACGTGTTTCTGTCGTTGTATAACTGACCAAGCCTAACACAAGCTAAAGGGCAAGTAAACCCCACTGCAGCAGATTATCCCCAGGGCAAGAGTAGAGCTGAGCATATCACAGAACAGATGTTATGAAACCAGCAGAGAATAAGGAGTATATTTAGATTAACCTCACTCCTGAGCAGTGTTCTGATCTAGCTTTGATCAGAGATGGAGGACCAGTAGGAGTTACATAAAAATAGGGATGTATAATGTGGATTGTCCCTTTGGGAACTGTGGGAGCTGTCATACATGGGTTACTGATCCTGTTGTAGGAGATGGAGCCTAAAGTCAGCAAGTGAAAGGAAGATGTGTAGCAACTGGTGACAACAGAACTGTAACCCCTGAAGACAGATTGGAACTTGCACCACTCGTCATCACCAAGTGTCCCTGAAGTGGGCTCTGTGGGGAAAATGGCTACACTTCCTGAATCACAACTGACTCAGAAGTGATGAAGTTGAAGGCATTGTCCAGTAAGATCTAGAAGAGCTACAGGTGTTGTCATACTGCATCAGGCTGACCAAGGACACTCGATGAATGGTGTTGGGTCCTGGTGTCCTATACCAATTTGAGTGAAGTCTGAGCTCAAATTTGCAACAATCTTCCTGCCTTTACCTCTCCAAGGCTAGGATTAGAAGGATGTACCATCATTCCCAGTTTACAGGCACATTAATCTCACTCAGTTGTCTCTTGTGACCCAGTTAATCTAGAACTGTATGAAGAGAATTCTGGAACATGGTTCCAGCTAAACTAAGCTGGGGCAATACAAATCTACCAGAGAACTTGCAAATGGCAAAATATAATAATAGCAAAATAAAGCACCAAGAGAACAACCTATCACAGCTAACCCAATTTTATTCTAGGGAAGCAAGAACAGTTTAGTGTTAGGAAAAAAACCTATTAATATACTGACAGCTTTTCAATATGAAAACCCACATGATAATTAGCAATGGATGACAAAAAGCATTCAGATAAAATGTGATATTCATGCACAATTGAAAAAAAACAAATCCTCAGGGAAAACTAGGGATGGGAGTGTGATGGCTAATTTTGGTTTTCAGCTTGACAGGGTCTAGCATCACCTGGGAGGCAAGCCTCTGGGCGTGCTTGTCAGGAATTTCTAGATTAGGTGAATTGTGGCAGAAAGCCACTTTATGGCAGCATCTTTCCAAGGACTAAGATCTAGAAGAGATACAAGCTCAGTTGCTGTCATATCTCATCAGGCTAGTCAAAGGAGCGTGACACCCTCTGAATACCACTAGGTTCTGTGTCCTGCACCAACTTTGTGAGTATGAGGATCCTGGAACAAATAAAATATGGAAAGCGAACTAAGCATCGCTGTGCATCTCTTCCTGCTTCCTGTCTGCAGGTGCAACGTGGCCAGCTGCCCAAGTGCCTGCTGCCATTCTTTCCCCCAAGAAAAGCCTGCCCTTGAGTTTGCTTGTCACCAGATGTTTTGTCACAGCATCAAGGCAGGTGATAGACACAGGAGGCTGCTCAACATGAAGCTTCTCAGGTGGAGAGCCTGTGTCTTCCTTCATGCCGAAACAGCAGAACTGTTCCCGTCAGTATCGGTAGGGTGGAACGGCTGTCTCCATGACTCCACATCACTGCCTTGTGTGTTATATTTGCTATGGAAGACATGAGGCAGAAAAAAGAGGAATTGCTGGAAAGGAAGAGACAAAACTACTGTTATTTGCAGACAATGTAATTATATATCTTTTAAAACTAGAGCTGGAAGCTCTTGACATTAGTTCTTAATACATAAAATAATGGCATACCAGGAAAATGTACAAAATCCAGTGAGTCTCCCTGTGCCAGCAGCACACTCAGGCATTGTAATGGGAGAAAGAAATTCAATTACGACCAAAATTAGGAAACGTTAATGCCTTGTGACATCGACATTTTTTAGGAACACAGACCATTTATTTGTTGAATGTCTCTCAACTTGGGTCTATCTATTGTATCTCTGATTGGATTCCAGGTATTCATTTTGATAGGAATATCTCAGAAACAATGTTGTACTCTTCTCCATACTCCATTTAAGACAAATATGATGTCATCTACCCCATCACTGTTGAATTCTTTGTTAGCCTGGTGTCCACAGTGCCTCTCTACTGTAAATGGCTACTTTTCTCTTTGTAGTCAATTAAATATCTTACGGTAATTTATTCTGAAATCATGTAAATATCCTAGTTTTTGTCAACGTTTCCCTAATCATCAACTATTTTAAATGATGGCACAGGTGTGGTGAGGTCTGTTTTCTCAGGTGATTCTCATGAGAACAGAACCTGGTACCATGCTCCCAAAAGTCTTAGATTTAACCTCATGAGGAATGTTGAAAGTTGTAGTCTTTATCTAAGAATCCAGTTCTAGGACTTTATTCTATTCTAAGTGATGAAATAATGTATAAGGTACTAGCAAACAAAGGGAAGCCTTTTTGGTGGATCCCACAAGCCAGTCTTTTCAAGAATAGCCATAGCAAGCACTCTGAATAAAATGAGCTCCTTACAGAGAATAGATTGCTTTTGGTTGAGAATTTTATAAATGCATATATGTTTTAATCAAACCTACTCCACCTCCTTCAATTCTTCCCCATTCCCCCATCACTTCTTCATTCCACTGGCACGTTCTCTCTCTCTCTCTGTCTCTGTCTCTGTCTCTGTCTCTGTCTCTGTCTCTCTCTCTCTCTCTCTCTCTCTCTCTCTCTCTCTCTCTCTCCTCTCTCCCTTCCTCCCTCCCCATGGGATTCCATTTGTGTTGGCTAACTACTCCTCTTGGATGTGAGGCCTGCCCTGGGTTTAATATACTAGTTTCTTAGTTAGGTTTCTATTTCTATGATAAGCAGCAAATCTAAAGCAGCTTGGGGAGAAAAGGCTTTATTTTAGTGTAAAGGGAAGCCTTTTTCTTGAGAGAAGCCTTCCCGCCAGCCTGGTTCTAGAGCCACATCAGTCCCAAATAAACACACAGGAGTTCATATTAATTATGACGCTGTTGGCCTTGCTTCTCTCTCTCTCTCTCTCTCTCTCTCTCTCTCTCTCTCTCTCTCTCTCTCTCTCTCTCTCTCTCTCTCTCTGTGTGTCTCTCTCTCTGTCTCTCTCCCTCTCCCCCCTCTCTCTCTCACACACACAACTTTCTGAGACCACTTACTGCTACCTGTGTGTGCATGGGTGAGTGATCATCTACTGCACCATGGGCAGCCTCTCATGGGTGGCATCTCTGGAGAAAACAGACTCTCTTTCCTCCATCAGTCATCAATTCCCAGCATGTGTGACTTCGTGAGCTCCTCCCTAATCCATGCTGGGATTTTGACTGGCTTGGCTTTATGTAGGTCTTGTGAATGGAGTCACAGTCACTGTGAATTCATATGTGTGCAATGGACATTTCATGTCTGGAAAAATGTATAAATGACTCTCCTTTCCAATGAGGAAGACATATAGGAAGCCAAATAAAATGCCTGACTTGTGTTGAGTATTAAGAATTTCATGAGTATATAGTCTAAATTTGGGGCATGGCTAATTTTGAGATACCTGTTGTGCTTGAAACAAAATACAGGACAAACGAAGTTCAAGGAAGGAGGAAAGGGTTATTTTGGCTAACAGTTTGAGGGTACAATCCATCATGGCTTCAGGAATAGGAGGCAGCTCATCACATTGCACCTAAAGTCAGGAAACAGTGACAAATGCTGGCACGCTGCTTGCTCTCTTCTTATTAGCAGTCCAGGACCCTGACCGCCCACATTCAGAGTGGGCTTTTCCACCCTCAATTAATCTCATCTAGATATTCCATAACACACATATTTAGAGATTTGTCTCCACAGTGATTCTAAATCCTGTCAAATGGACAGTCAAAATAAACCATCACTCCTGTCAAACATCCAAGGGAAGCTGCCCATAGGGTTTGGACCTGATGCCAAGGGAGAGTGACTGAAAACAGTTCACACCACAGAGGTGTCATCTGAGAAGCCCTGAGACTGTCTCTATCCAGGTTTCAGTAGCACTCAGGCTTGTGTCTGCAAGATCCTGCACAGAGACCTGTAGACGTGAGAAATGGGAATTTGGGAAATCGTAAGGGGCTCAGCATAGCCAGAGTGCGGGATTTGAGGGAAAGCATCTAGGAAGAGACTGGACGTATTTGAGAGAGAATCAAATGAGCTGGGGTAGCTTGGAAATTGTCTATATGGGAATTGGAGGACCACAAAATAGTTTCAAGGAGAGAAGGTGCAGTCCATTATAATTGAGAATGAATGATGGTAGGAATGAGGTGGATGGTCACACTGAGTCACAGTCAGGGAGCAGGGAACGCTGCTGCTCAGCTCCCTTTCCCCCTTCATTTAGACTGGGACCCCAGAACTGGAATGATGTACCCACATTTAGGGTGGGTGTCCCCACTTCTGTGAACCTAATCTAAATCTCTTCAGAGACATACTCAAGTTGAGAGTCAATATTAATTGTCTCAGAAGGCATAAGCTGTAGAGGGTACTCTGGCTTTGGGAAAGGCTCAATTGAAGGGCAAGGCGGGAGTCAGGCAGCCTGGCAGAAGCTGCTGCTACTGCAGCCCAGATGGTAAGACCAGTGGGCTTTACAAGGAGATGGGGGAGCTGGAGACAAACATGTGGGGCCCAGCTGCCTATGGAGATAGTAGCAACAGGGCTTCATGACTGAGGTGAGCAAAGGTGAGAAGGAAACCCCGGATGTTCAAGATTCCAGCCTGGGCACTAAGCAGAAAGCTGATTAGGAAAGATCAAAGGTGAGGTGGGTTTTTTTTGCATAAATTGAGGTCCAAGTGACTATAGAAAGTTCAGGAGACAAGTGTACAAAACATAGACCTGAAACTCATAACTCATGGGTGAACTCTCTCTCTCTCTCTCTCTCTCTCTCTCTCTCTCTCTCTCTCTCTCTCTCTCTCTCTCATACCCCCCCACGGCCAGTGTGGAACATGCAAATTAAAGGAACCAGAACTCCAAGGAATCCAAGGAATTCTACATGCTAACTTATCATTTAACAAACTTCATTGAACTTAAACTGTTTGGTTTCCTACAGAGTCCAATAGATAGATCACTACAGGTGCATCATTTCTCTGAGCCATAGGAGATCCTTTTGTGTCATTTTTGGAATCCTAGTACACCAGATACATGTGGGTCACATTTATTACGGGAGTGAGATGCATGCGAGTATGTGAAGAAAGGTTGAGTGCTACCTCTCGAAGCCTTCTGAGTGTTCTTATGTGATATCCCACACAAACTAAAAAGAGCAGCTCCATTCCCTGTTCATGGCTTTTGAGGCTACAGTATTTGGGATGATTTTGCATATCCAAAATCAACATGATAAAAACCAAGTTTTAGGAGCCTAGAGGTCAGACAAGCCAGGGGGGATTTTTAATACACAAAAAGATTGGCATTTCATGTCTGTCAAGTGAGGAAGTATTACAATTCCCATATGTTCTTCCAGAAGGAACCAGTCAGGCAAAAAGGTGGTTAAAGACTCACTCTGCAAGAAGTGTCACAAAACGTCACAAAATGTGAAGATTTTTGCTATTGTTTTTCATTCTTGTGGGAGCCCATGGGAAGAAAGGTATTTCTATTGATTCTATTGACTCTCAGGAGAAGCTTTCCATGTGGTCTGATTCCAGTTGCAGGGACAGAATGCAGGCTTTTGAAAGAAATGTGGAAAAAATAATAGATAAGTGGTTGTTTCTCTTAGAAATTGTTACGCCGTGTAATTTTAAAACATTTTAAATCTCTAGACAGAAGTCCACTGAAATGCAATAACTTCATTGTAGAACACACTAGAAACAATATTTAACCCCTCAATTGTGCATCAGAGGGAGAAAAATTATATAGTAGAATTGTGTGAGGGGCACGCTCCCTTGTTGGTTGAGTTGACTGCCACTGAGCACCTCGGGAGCCGAGCCACACTTTCAATGTCATTGTGTACAGCTTAGCCACGAGATAGGACCCATGCGTTTACACAAAGAAGAAAAGAAAGCCACTTTCCAAGTTTGTTTCCACAGCAACCGTTTTTCATACTTTCTTCTTGTGTGTCTAAACACGAGCAAGTTAAGCTATAGAGGCTGGGACATAATCCTTGCAAACTACCCATGCGTTATTAGTGTTTTGTTGATCATAACCATTCACCAGGCACTGTGTGCACACCTGCCATGAAAATTGGAGAAAGTGGACCTGAGGTCCTGCCTTGCATTTGGCTAAGGCTGAGAGTACCACAGTGGGTGCCTGTGGATGTAGCACTGCAACAGGGGTACATCTGAATACTAGAAGGGAGCAACCAACAACCTCAAACCCTGCCCTCGAACTTGAGACAGATATTTCACTTTAACCACGAATGCTTGATGGACTTTTGTTAAGACTGGGATGAGAAAACGAACTATAATGAAAACCCACACTTCTAGGGACAATGACGGAACAATGTCATTGAGAAAAGGTATGCATGTGTAGGCTATATCTAGGACGATGTGAGGAGAACTCTATGTGTCTAATTCGAATGTACGGATTTGGTCCTGAGGATGATTGGACCTACTAATGAAGAGGCTACATGATGTCACAATACTCTCATGAGCTAAGAGGAGACAACAGGAAGCTTGGGAAGAGTTGTGGAGATGGAAGTAGAGGGACCCTGTGAAGACTCCCCTGGTTGTCAGAAGATCTGAGAACACATGGGGATGTAAAAGCTATGGTTGGGCTCCCAATGAACTTCTCAGGAAGCCAGTTCGCTTTCTTTCATCCTCTCACCCTCCACCTCTTAATCTTGTTCAACTTAGCACTGAACCAGAGTGAATCTCTTGCTTCAGTTCTGCTGATGAGGAAGTTAGGCATGAAGAGAAAATTAACCAGCCCAGATTTACACAGTTATGGGGTGGTAGGGCTGGAATTTGAACCCAGGCACTCAGATTTCAGAGGCTGGGTGAATAATCATATATTATGTTCTGGAGAGTTCATTCTCTTTGTGTCTCAGACTGAACTTAAAGGCAAAGAGGATGGGTTAGTTCATCTGAGACATTGGAGCCGACTAGGTGGAGTGGGAATTTAGGCTCTGCCAGTGGAGCTGGCCCACAGAGGAAGAACTGAGGAACTATGCAGCCCCTTACCCTTTGATCTGGATTCTCTTCCCACCTCTTGTGTGCTGCTAGCAAGTTCTCCCAAAGGTTGTGTCATTCTGAGTGTGCTTCTGTTCCATGCAGTCAACTATTCTTGATCACTGCAGAATGACTGTGGTGGTATTCTTGTGTGTGAGCTTCATGTGTGTTCAATAGTAAATTACATAAGAGCCAGATTCAAAAAATGATCAACGCATGGAAGTTTAGCATAGGAATTGGATTTCTTTGCTCATAATTTGTAATAATGTTTTTAAAATAAGCTGATTCTTTGCCTCCTATCCCCCCAACCTCTAGGTAGTGCATAAAAAGAGGCTCCATAAAGCAACTCTCTGAAGATCATTCACTTAAATACCTGACTGTCCTTCTTCTAACAGTATGAACAAGTCTGAGGCACTAGTTGCAACATGTGTTTAATTTAAAGTCTGAAGCGTAAGTGCAGAGCAGGGCCACTAACACATTAGGATTCGGTATTATCTGTGCTTGTAACTGCCGAGTGGAGTGGAGAAGGGGGAAGGGAAGCAGGCACGCAGAGAGGGGGTGTTCACTACAGAAAGGAAAGTGCCTTCTGAAGCCATATCCTTTTTGATTTTGACAGTGAGCTATGCCAGGTGGCCAATTTGAATGACCATTAATCAGGGCAATGAGATGTCAAAAGAGGCAGGAGTCATTAGAAAAGTATTGTCCCTGAAAGGTTTTGCAATTTGCCAAATTAATTCTTACCTGAAGAGACTCATGAGGTTCCAAGTGACATGTGTGTCCTATTTATCCCATCGAAGCCAGAGTGACTGGGCACCAAGTCACCTGATGAAAGCTAAAGTCATTCATACTGGAGGATCTGGATTCTGAAGGGTCAAGGACAACTCCAAAAGGGATCATCTTAAGGACAGTGTAGGGACAGTATCTAAGGAAGTAAGTGTGAAGCAAAGGAACACAAGTGAGTTGAAGGTCCTAAATATGGCAGTAGCATGGTTCTACATCTTCAATAAGGAGAGGCTTCTAATCAAAGAAAAGCACCCAGTTGTCAAGGGACAGAGTTTAACTTGTTCCACCTGAGACCTCAAACATTTCGATTAAACCGTAAAACTGTCATGAGAGGAAGCATGAAGATTAATAGATAATGTTCTTTAGCACTTTAATTTTGTAGAATTCAAAGTGTAAGAAAATGAATGTCCTAGCCTCTTGCCAAAGCAGATATAAATAAATAGCAATCGAGGTTCTAATTCCTGAGAATTTTAATAAAGAGAAATATTTATGGTTTAAAATTACCCCTAGAATTATGCAGCAGAGAGCAAATAGTTTATGACTTCAGAGAACAAAAAGAAACTTGCAAATACTTGGTGTTGGCAGATCAATTAAGTGGCAATACATGCTACATTATAATCTTAATCACCATGAAATTAAAATATGGTAATGAGCGTTAGCATGACTTCATCCTTTCAAACTATGATTTAATTTATGGAATTCTTCTGGACTGCTGCCTTATTTCTCGGGTTCTTTCTGTCTTGATTCCCCAGGCTTCTTTAGATTACAGCCTGTCCAGCAGGTATTATCAAGGCAGCCACTAACTAAATGAATGCCTCTTCCCTTATCAATTAAGGATCTTGTAGGTTATTCTTACTTGTTTTAATTTAGTTCTTTTCCCTGCTTAAAATATGCAGGGAATTAGAATAACTTGTTTTTTAAGCAGTAAGGCCTCTCTTTGGTTTCCATATGGTGTATTTTTCCCCCTGACACAAAAAGCAGGCCAAATGTCAATTTGTTTTCCTCAAGGTCACCATCCTGGAACATATTTGAGGGAAGGGACAGTTTGTTCTTGGTGTCCTTGCAAAAGCATTATGGATAGTGCTGCTCACCTTGCTTCTCCACTGATGTACCTGTGATGTCACAGCTCCACGGTGTCCTCAGTAAGGAGGTCACCTGGCAAAGGCCATGTTTCCCTTCGCCATTTAAACTGTTAGCTCTAAGCACTATTTACAGAGCTCCTCGTGGCAGCTCTAAAGCTTATGTCCAAAAGGCAAGAAAATGGTTTGATGGTAAATCAGAAAGAGTTCTCAGCTGTCCTAAGAGAAAAGAGCAATGGAAAGAGCGGCTCTGTTCTCCCTGGTTCCCACTGTGCATTATTCTCTTCCAACATCAAGGACTCCGATTCTGCAGCACCAGCTGAACAAGGTGTCCAACGTCTCAAGTCAGTTCCCACACTAACGACCCAGAGTTTGCGTCGTCCCCTCAGGTAAGTGTTCCATCCTACAAGACTGCTCTAGACACCAGACACCGGTCCTGGGCTTCCACGGCTTCCTAATTTTTTTATTTATTTCATTGTATGTTTCTGAGTGTTTTGCTTGCACGTGTGTGTCTGTGTGTGTGCCATGTGTGTGCCACGTGTGTGCCATGTGTGTGTCTGGTGCCTGTGGATATCAGGAGGAGGTGTTCTGCTGGAACTGGAGTTACAGATGGCTGTGAGCCACATGTGGGTTCTGGGAGTTGAACCCATGCCCTGTGCAAAAGCAACAAGTGCTCTTAATCTCAGAGCCATCTCTCCAGCCTCTACATGTACTTCTTACCCCACCCCCAACTCTGAATCAGATGTCACACTAATCCACTAGAACAGTGGTTCTCCATCACAGCTGAGCGGGAGGAGGAGACAATGACCCTGTGCATCCCCTGGCAGTCAGGTACTATTAAGGTGAGCTAATATATGGTGGGATATGGGACAGAGAGAAAGAATGGTTCATATCTTGTAGAGAGAGACAGATCTGAAGAGGTAAAGGCAGTGAGAAGCAGGCTGAGGTAGGTGCTTGACACCCAGGGCCATAGTGCTGTTCGGACCTGGACTTCTGCAAAGGCCCATGTGTGGGTCTGTGGCCCTACTGATGTCCATGGCTCCTGTTACCACTAAAGGCCAAGAGGATAGGGCTGCCCAAGAGGATATGATTTGTCCCCACCCCTCACTGGCAGGCTGCAACTGCCCTGGCCCAGAATCAGGGCTATGAGTTGGCCCATCCCAACATCCACCCCATCTATGATCTGCTGGAGCACATGAAGGGACTGGTCCTACAGTTCCAAAGCTGCAGGATCTCCACAGCACAGGGCAACAACAGGATTTCCAAGAGGAGTCCCAGTGAGGGTCCTCCATCGATAGTGTAGCAGAAACCAAGCGCCTCAAAGCAGACCAATGATTCTTTGTGAAGAGCACTTACAAGCAAAGATAAGTATGGACTGAAGGGTTTACTGCATGACTCACTGTGTCACGCTACAGCGTCCACAGCATCCACAGGGTTTTTTTTCTTTCTTTTTTTAGCTTTTAAACTTTATTTTTTTTATTTTGGGGAGTTTGCAAGGACAGAGAATGGGTATGAAGGGATGGGGAGATGAATGGAATAAAGATGCATGATCTGAAAGCCACAAAGATTAAATAAAAAGTTTTTTTCTTTTAGAAAAGAACAGAGGTTCTCAACTTTCCTAATGCTGTGACCCTTTAAAACAGTTCCTCATGTTGTGGTGACTCCAACCATAAAATTGTTTTTGTTGCTACTTCATAACTGGAATTTTTCTACTGTTATAAATCATAAATATCTGGCATCCCAGATATCTATTATGTGACCCCTGTGAAAGGGTCATCCCATCCTCTAAGGAGTTGCCCACAGGTTGAGAAACTACTTCACTAGAAGGCCTCACCTAACTCTTGAGAGCTCTGTGCCTGTTGTCATGTTCCTATGAAGGATACACCTTAGAACAACCAAGTGGAAGTGATGCTCAGGGCAAGGCTGGGGAGGAGAGCCAAGCTTCCACACCTCCGCACTGAGTAACCTGGAGGCTCTGAACTTCTGTTGGCAGCCTCTCCCCTGCAGCCTCTCACCTGCCTCCTGAGGTAGGAGGTATAAGGCAACACTAAGAGTCCATGTCCTCCAATCATATGTTTGGTAGTGTGGGCTTTCCTGTAACTATCACCTGTCCAGAAAGTATCTAAGGGCTCCCAACCCGAGGCCCCTTGTCAGCAGAGACACAGGGGTGATCTGGAAGGAGTCTGTTGACTGCTGTTACTAACATGGAGAATTCCAAATTTGGGGGCTGTGTGCCTGGAATCAGGGATAATGACCACTTCTGTATTTTAGATACTCTGTCTTCCTGGAGAGTCCCATGATGCCTTACCAAGTGTGATGATTAATTGTGATTGTCAACATCTCTGGACTTAGAACCAACTGGAAGATACACCTTTGGGTATGTCTGGAAGGCTTTACTGAGGTGGGAGGACCTGTTGTTGGTGGTGGTTTTTGTTTGTTTGTTTGTTTGCTTTTTGCTCTTTGGGGACCTGCCACCCAGCTCCCAAATAAATACACAGAGACTTATTCTTTCTTATGGATGCCCAACCTTCACTTGGCTCATTTCTAGACAGATTTTCTCAAATTAAATTATCCCATATATCTTTTTCTTCTGACCTTTTACCTTTCTTTACTTCTTACTCTGTGACTTGCTGTGTAACTGGGTGGCTGGCCTCTGGAGTCCTCCTGTCTTCCTTTTCTGGCACCTCCTCTTTTTCTCCTATTTATTCTGTCTGCCTGCCAGCCCCACCTATTTCTCTCTCCTGTTTACTGATTGGCTGTTCAGGTCTTTATTAGACCAATCAGGTACTTTAGACAGGCAAAGTAGCACAACCTCACAGAGTTAAACAAATACAACAAAAAAATGAACACATTTTTGCATCATTAAGAAATGTTCCACAGCATAAACGATTGTAACGCATCTTCAACTAATATTGTACAACAAAGACCCAGCATGAATATGGGCCACAGAGCACCAGCCTCCATCTCTCTCTGCTTCTTGACTTGGATGCAATGTGAGCCACTGCCTCATGTTCTGGCTGTCATGTCCCTCACCATGGTGGACTACACCTTTAAACCACAAGGCAAAGTAAAGCCTAAGGTATTTTGTTACAGCAACAGGAAAAGTAACTAGTGACCCAGCATTTGTCTTTTGCACTTGGAGATAAGGATTCCTTTCTGTCCTTTTAGATTGTCCTCCTTCAATACCAACTCCTAAGAATATTACCTTTCTCCCACTGTGTGGGTAACCTTGACATGGCTATTTGAGAAGCTGTTCATTCTGTATACTGGGTAATCCCAAAGTAACAATAATCCCTTTGCCCAAGTGCATTTTTAAATTCTAATTCATTCACTCAAGACTGCTGTGACGGGGTTAGATGATACAGTTGATGACAAGTGTGGAAGCAAGACAATCTTGAACAAACACCAGTATAATGCTTTCCCTTGTACTAACCAGCATCGGAGCTAGGCACACTCACTCACCTACGCCTGTAGGAAACAACCCTGACACTGTGCAACCAGCACACTCTCTTGTGCTAGGCCATAGCAACTTGTATATGTGAAGCTGTGAATCAACTAAAGGAGTAAATCATGACTAAAAGTCACTTCAAAGCTCTAAGTACCTTTCACTCACCAGTTGACAGGCACTAAGCCCTCTACCCAGCCCTCATAAGTTGGCAAGATGTGCTTCATACCCCTCTAGGAGAAGTCCCTTTTGGAGTCTTTGATGGCTGCCCATGAGCTACAGAGCAGAGTGGAAGCTTTTAATGAATTAATCCTGTTTAGTTGAGTGTTCCCATCTTCAACACTCCCAATACTGCATGTTTTGGAATGCTGAATAACCAATCATCTCCATCAACCCATCCATACTAAAATGCTCTAATCATGGTTTCAAGTGCCCTTCTTCTCTTCTTGTTGCTTTAGATAATTCCTACTCAACTTTTACTAGTACAAAGTATATCTTCCAGGAGCTTTTTCTGAACTCCAGACTAACAGTGTGAGATGCTTTTGTACTTCTATGAGCAAAATACTCAGTAGAAACAGGTAAATGGGCATCTTAGTAGGCTTCCTATTACTGCAATAAGCACCATGATCAAAAGAAACTCTAGGAAGAAAGCGTTTATTTTATCTTAAAACGTACAGTCCAACATGAAGGGAAGTCAGGGCAGAAAATCAAGGCAAGATCCCAGAGGCAGAACCTGAAGCAGAGGCCATGGGAGAAATTTTCATTATTGACTTCCTCATCAGGCTCATGTTTAGATGCCCATTTTATACAACCCAGGACCACCTGCCCAGGGGTGGTGCCACTCAAAGTAGGCCGGGTCCTTCTGCATCAATCATCAATTAAGAAAATGCCCCTACAGACTTGCCCACAAGTCAATTGGATGGAGACATTTGCTCAGTTGAGGGTCCCTCCTCCCAGGTGACCCCAGTGTGTGTCAAGTTGAGAAAAAGTAAATAGTACATGGAGAAAACATTTTGACTCATATTTTTGAAGGATTTCTGTATGTTGAAGCATAGAAGACTGTTCACATCATGACAGACCAACCAGTAAGCAGAAGGAACCCTTGGGAACAAGGGTTGGGCTACATCCCTCAAAGTCCTACCTGTGGTGACCAACTTCTGCTGGTCCTTAATGTTTCACGTGGTTTCAAAATAGTGCTACTGCTGAGAATAATAATTTCAAGTAAAGAGCTTGCAGGGGACAGTTCAGATTTAGATCCTACCACAGTCTCAAGTCTCATCTTTCTTCTGGGGTACTTCTAAACTGTGTGCACCCCTCTCAGTAGGCAGGTCTGTCCCCTGCCCTTAGCAGAACTCTAAGAACAGAGTGTCTCCTGAGATTGGCAGATCCCCACCCTTGAGGATACTTAATAATTCTCCTTACCTGAGGGTGTACAACGGACATGTGTTCAACTGAGCCAAATTGGATTTCACCCTCATAGCTGTAGAGAATATTTTTCTCCATTTACTGTTTGCTTTTAATTTGGGTTGTGTGAAATTTTGACATAGAGTAGTTTTTAATTTTTATGGATTTGAAAGTATTGATCTTCATGTGATTTCTTCCATTGATTTTGAATGTAAAAAATGAAGGACTGGTTTTAGAGAGACTCTTTGTGACTAAGTAAGGAGCTTTGCTGTCTCATCTTTCTCATTGAGAGGAGGGCAATATGAGGCAGAGACAAAGGAGATATTTCAGCATCCATTCTCAGAAATCCACAGCTCTTTTCCTGTTCTTCCCAGTAAAGAATGGTGTTTGGGTCAAAGGCACAGGTCACATTTTGTATCTTAGGTTTTATGGTTTCCATCAGTCTGTGAAAACAACCATCTTCAGGCTAAGCAATTCCATTTGTCTTTGGGCCCCAAAGGACAGTTTCTGTGTTAAGAGCTTTTGGATAAAAGAAAAAATAGCAAATTAGGCTCTTTTACTGTTTGCTTGTTTTATTTTCTGACTGTGTAAAATAGCAACTGACTCAGCAGACTCTGTTGGCCTGGCTCAGTGCTCTGTCCTTGGGGCCTCCATCTGAAATGTTAGCTCACCTCCCTCCACCCCCGAGCCAGCTCCAGGGTCAAGGCCTTGGTAAGAAGCTCCCTAGTCAGTTTCCTCTATTTCTACCTCCTCCCACCTCCCCCATCCATACATACTTGTATATAACAATCCCACAAGACATGCGACACAAAGGCCTGGCTGATGGCTCCTTCAGTGGCTCAATGGCTGTTCCAACATAACTAGGTTAACAATGACAGGCTCTCTGCTGATATTGAAAAACATAGGCATGAACCCAATCCTCATGGAATTCATAGCCTAGCAGGAAAGTCTTCATTTAATAACTAACTAATTACACATCTAATTGCAAACTTGCAAATTTCTACAAAAGAAAATGTGTAGGAGGATAAGAGAATGCATGTAAGCAGGGTGAGGGGAAGCATTCAGGAGAAACTGCACTGGGAGATTATATTTTAAGGTTGAGTAGGTGGTAGCTAAGTAGCATGGGAGATGGGAGGACAGGGGATTCCAGGCAAGAGAAGACATGTGCAAAGTCCCTGAGGCATATGTCTGGCTAAGGATTCTGCCTTGCCTAAAAGGGTATAAGAATACAAGTATTATAAAGTTAAGAAGATGGTACTTACTAAATAAGTGATGTGAAATAATGCTTCTTTTCAATGTTCTGGCATGCTCAGCTCTTGACATGAAAGCATATGGAGCAAGATTGACATCTGTCATTTTACTGGTGAGACAGAATAGGATCATGGAGAGAAGAGTTCTGGAGTTTAAATCTTAGTGTCATCATCTATACCAGGTGTGCAATTGCAGAGAACTTCCTTCATTTTTCTATGTCTTATTTCTTTCATCTGCAAAATATAAGCATTATAATGAGAATAATAACAAAATTAAAAAGTGTTCCAACTTCATAGGATGGCTGCAACACCTCATATAAGATGCTGACAACACAAGTACCATCTTAGGCCAAGCAGGGTGATATACACACAGTTCCACACTGGGAAGGCCAAGGAAGCAGCCTCAGAAGTTTGAAGCCAAGATGAGCTACATAGAGAGTTACATAGCAAGACTCAGTAAGTGTTGTGGTTTGAAAGAAAATGGCTCCCAAAGGAAGTTGTATTATTATGAAGTTGGCTTGGTTAAAGTGGGGGTGGACTTGTTGGAGGAAGTGTGTCACTGTGGAGGCGGTCTTTAAAGCCTCATATATGCTTAAGCCACATCCAGTGTCTCAGTTCACTTCTGTTGCCTACAAGATGCCTACGGCTCCTTCTCTACCACTGTGTCTGCCTGTATGCCACCATGTCCCACCATCATGATAATGGGTTAAACCTCTGAAACTGTAAGCCACCCAGTTAAATGTTTTCCTTATAAGATTGTGGTCATGGTGTCTCTTCACAGCAATAGAAACCCTAACTAAGACCTTAGCAAACAGCAGAAGTGAAAAGAAAGAAATATAAACAACTTAAAAAGAGAAAAAGGAAAAAAAGAAAGGGTCAGTGGTTAAAAGCATATACTGCTCTTGGAGAGGACCCCAGTCTGGTTCCCAGCACATATCTGCCCACCACTTGTAACTCCAATTCCAGGGGATCTGACACCCTCTTCTGGCGTTTGAATGCCCCTGCATACATATGGCATACACTCAGACACACACACACAAAGCAATATAATAAATCTTTTAAAAAATGAAAAAGAAAAAACCTTCATTATGTAGCAAAACCATATAATATCTGTAAATTTTTCAACACCATTGAATAAGTGAATATCTATTTGGGTTTGAATAGTACTATCAGTTATTGGAAGAAGGAAAAGCACGATTTTTCTCACTTGCCTTCTACCCAAGGAATCTCCCTTATGAGTATGTCTATATATAGCTGTGCTGATAGAAAGTGGAGCAGAGAACACGATTCCCAAATGATAAAATTATATTTCCGTTTCAGTCATAATTACATACCTTCATAGCTCCGCTCATGAATCCTAAGCAGACTCCACTCTGCTTTCACTTTTAAATGCCTATCAGCCTTGAAAACCTTTTGGCAAGAATCTAACTCCTCCCTTACTGAGGCGACTTAATCAGCATCCCAACTCCTCTCTTTCAGGAATGATTGCTCAAGACTTTGAAACCAAGGGTTCAGTCAATGCACTGCAACCCTGGGCTCTGTTTGTTTCTGGGACAAAAACCACAGGAAGGATGTGACTTGTGAATGATTAAAACTTGGTATTTAGACTCGTGTAGCTTTTATTTGCAGCTTCAGTATCTGCATTTAGTTTTGAGAAAGATCAGGTTTTCTCTTCCATCTGGCATCTCTGCACTGGGTTGACCAATTTACCTTCCACCTGGTGGACCAGACAAGAGGCAAAGTGAAATAGAAATACTGGAGGGGCAACTGAGTTGGAAGAGAACAGACATGAAAACATGGACTGTTCATATTTCATTTGTTTGCCTTGGCGAGGACATGTCCTTTGAAGGTGGCTAAGGCCACCAGGATCAGTACATGACTAGGACAGTAAATCTAAAGAGACTGATAGATTCATGGGCGTTGAGCTTCTGACTTGCAGATATATGATGTGTGCATGTGTGTATGTATGTATGCCAGAAGTCAATCTCCACTGTTGTTTTCAAGATCCATTCATCTTGGTTTTGGAGACAGGGTCTCTCACCAGGGAAGCTCAATGAGCACATGAGGCTGAATAGTTATCAAGTCCAAGGATCTATTTGCCAGTCTCCCTCTCCCAGCTACTGGAATTACAAGTGCGTGCCACCAAGGCCAGCTTTCTTTACATGGGTGCTGGGGGTGGAAGTGAGGTCCTCACACTTGTATGGAAAACACTTTACTCTGCAGTTCAACTTACCATTTTCTCCAAACAAACATATTCGGAGGAAGAGAGAAAGGGGGATGTTTCACTGTGTGTGCCAACTGGTTTTGTGTCAGCTTGACAAGCTAGAGTCATCAGAGAAGGGGTCTCAGTTAGTGTTTTCTCAATTCATGATCAATGGGTGAGAGCCCAGTCCACGATGGGTGGTGCCATCCCCAGGTTAGTGGTACTGGGTTGTATAAGAAAGCAGGCTGAGCAAACCATGATGAGCAAGTCAACAATTAGTACTTCTTCATGACCTCTGCATCAGCTCCTGCCTCCAGGATCCTGCCCTGTTTAAGTTCTGTCCTGACTTCCTTTGGTGATGGGCAGCAATGTGGAAGCATAAGTTGAATGAACCCTTTCCTCTTCAACTTGATTTTTGTTCATGGTGTTTTGTCACAGCAATAGAAACCCTAACTAAGACAAGGGGGAAAGAGATACATAACTTCCACCATGGTATAATTGTTCTATTTTTACCATTATTGCTATGTATCTTTAATGATGCCTATTTTACAAAATAAACTTTCCTATAGCTTATATGTATAGAAAATATATAGCATGTGTAGGATTCAGTACCATCTGTAGCTTCATGGGTACTTTGCACTGTGTAACATACTGAGAGCAAAGATTCCAAGAGGCCCAAGGTATGATTCCTAACCCAGAGGGTCTTAACAACATGTGTGGGACCTCTACTCAGTGATCAACACACTAAGTATTTTCTATATGCCGTTTAACTGGAACTGTCACCCTGTGCTCACCTTACAGAGAACTTAGGTAACTTGTCCAAGGTTATTCAGGTAGCTGGCAACTGGCAGGGAACCCCCACGCTCTATCACACACAGCTTGCTTCTCTATCAACAGGGTGACACACTGGTGTTGAGTGTGTCATCTGCAGTCAGGCATTCTGGGTTTTAATGCTGCCTCCTCCGCTTAACCATGTGACCCTGGGCAAATGAATCATGCTTCCCACACCTCAGCTGCCTAATCTGCTAAAGGGGGGCTAATCCAAGTTCCTCTTCATAGGACTTCTAGACTGATTAAATGAAATAAATGGATGGCATGTTTAGTGTTCAGTAAACATTAACCATTATTATCGTAAATAAACTCTGTAAACAAAACATCACAAAGGCATGTGATATATTTTAAGGCTGCCAAATGCTGCCATTTGTCTCTGCTGGAGAGGGAGAAGGAATTCAGACTAAGCTGCAGAAATGCTAAGTCTATTCGCCTCCTTTAACCCGAATTCCAGCCAATGACATTGACAACACAAGAGTTAAGATCCAGTCTGTTCATCTCTCCTTCCACCTCCAGTGCTGCTAAGGGGCCTTGTGTAGGGGTGATTTGTACATTACAAATGTCTCTTACCTCATTAGGAAAGGGACCATCTGGGCCTGACACTCAAGAGACAGGGGTGACAGGAAGGGAATCAATCTAGACATCCTTGGAGGTTTCAGTTGGCAAAATCCACACCTTAGTGGGTTCCTGTGAGGAAGAGAAGGGCAATGGTACTATTTAAAGAAGGATCTCACAGATGTGTAATGCGTTTAAACATAAAGGCACTCTGTTCTCAAAAAGTTGGGCCTTTGGCATAGCACCAAGGCCAGCCTGACATAGGACTGAAGAGGCCCAGGGTGCAGTGTGACTTATCACACTAAGTACACTTGTCTCCCATGGCAACGAGTTACTGGGCAGCAGAGACAGCAGGGCTGGGAAAAGCATTCAGGGGAAGGGTCAACATGGAACTGCTCTTTGCATATTTATCCAGGCCCAGATTTGGTGGATGGTTTCAGAATACGTTAAGTCGTCATCAGCATTCTCAGCTGTTCTTGAGGGCACGGTTGCTCCAGAGGGAAGAGGAGTTGGATTGGCTTCCTGGTACTTATTTCAGGAAAGTCAGATATCCAGGGAACCAGGCCATGAAGACCAAGTCCAAAGTATGCAGATACACTACAGTGGCCCCATAAGGATCCAGCCAACTTGAATTGTCAAACTTAATAAATATTTATTATTTCTCTCCCCAAAGGACTCCTAGGGATCTAAATGCATTGCTAACACATGCTTGCATGTGTTTCTGCCCACCCGTTTGCAGATTAAAGCGGGACGTGGACCACATGTTAGTCTCCTGATAGTTCTAAAGTCTGGCACAGCATCCTGACTATAATACATGCTGAAAGAAAAAAAAGTGACTAAGTAGAGCTTTATGAGTATACACAACCTTTTAACCTGGACTTCTACTTAATTGAATTATTACATTAAGCCCTTTATTAACCTGCTTTAACAGGTGAGGAGACTGGGGTACAGAGAGGAAGTGCAACCTGGTCAAGGTCATTTGGGGAAGCCCAAATTGAATTTCACATAAAAATCAATAAACCTATTATCACATTAAGACACTAACTAGGGTGGCTGAAAGAAAGTGCTTGGGAACTTCAGTGAGCTTACATTAATTGCCTTTGGGCCCAAGGCACCTTGATAAGCACTGAGAGAGGTAATCCACACAGAAGGTAGAGCTCTCCAGTGGATTTTTAAAAATGAAAAGCTACATGTAAAGTATAATTATGTATAAGAGGAAGATTATTACCACAGTGAACTTGAGCTGATTTAAACGTGGATCAGATGGATGAGAGTACTCTGGAAACAAGGACAGGGTTGCTGGAATCACTGCTGTCCCAGGGTCCTGCACAAAGCTTCTGCCCAGGAGTAGCTGCTAAGAAGGAGTCCACCCAACATTAGTAATGTTATGTAATCACTGTGTCTAAATGCAGTGTAGTAGTCAGTAGAAATATGGTCGGAATGAATGTGTCCTCCCAGGGGAACATCTTTGCAATAGAGTCAAGAGCGAGGGGAAAGGTGTCTTGACTTGACTATCCTCAGAGTCAGTTTTGTAGCTCTGGCCACAGACATTAGGCATGTGGTCCAGGCTGTATTGTGTGATCATAAGAGAGGGGTGGAGAGAGATTCTATTGCAGCATTAGGACCACTTCTTCCTCTCAGCTCAGGAAGGGTTAGAAATGCAGAGGAAGCACTGAGCAGGTGGGCAGAGGATAAGGCTGGAGGTGGAAGTTCTGGAGGACAATGGTATGGTGACACTGAGCAAACAGGCAAGCTGCTGCTGGCCCAGCTGTTGCTGATGACAATGGTTATGGGTTCAAGATGGAAACAGAGCATGTTGGATAGAGAGCCTTGGACCTTGACTGTACAAAGAGTTAGTATAGATACAAGGAAGTATGCTAGAAGAAACATGAACATTCAACAAGGGAGTGGGGTGTGATGATATGCTAGGAGGAGCACATACATTCATTAAATGGGTGGGGCTGGGAATATTTATAATAGTCTTTACAGAAGTTGACATATTGCATTATAGTAACCATTAGTAATATAAGAATGTATTATGGAAAAATGGACAAGAGTTAGCTCCAGAATTTCAGCTTAGAGAGGAATACAGACATGGACATGACCAATGATAACTCTATAAGGAAAATGGGAAAATAGAGATGGAACATAATACTATAATAATTTCTAAAATGGGGCAGATAAATAAGCAGCCTATGAAAATTGGAGGATACTGAATCTCAACCTTAATTCTCTCGTATAGGGGTGCAGCATGAGCCATGCTGTCTTATCTAAATTCTATTGTCTTGTGTTGGGTATGTCACCTACTCATAAGGGTATGTAAGGACTTAAAGGGTGTGTGTGCACTCACATGTGTGTGTGTGTGTGTGTGTGTATGAAGTGCTTAGCACATGGCCTGTCATAATAACAGTAACTGAATATTAATTGTCACAGACGCTACCACATCAGTTTCTGCCTGGAGGCACTGTGCTGAAGACTTATGTTGTTTAATCTTCACATGCATTCTCCTAGCCAGTTACTGGCAACCTGACTTATATAAGAAAACATGATCCGTGAGTGTTTGCTGCTGTCTAGGATTCACTTGCACACGGCACCAATTTCAGAAAGTCTACTCCATTGACTCCTTCCATATTTTACTCATATGACGAGTACCTACAGACACTGCCTAGGCTAGTGCTTGGACTCTACAAATGAAAGTAACTCTAAGGATGTTACGGCTGCACTGGAAAGCATAATTGTATTAGCCTGTGTTTAAAATAACTATTACTAAGCACTAAACTGGATGGTTTTCATATATTAGTTCACTTAAATCTTTTAATAGGACTCAGTCCTTTGAATCAGGAACTGCTAGTATCTCTCTGTTTCACAGTTAAGATTAAGCCATGTAGACTCTATTTTTATATTCATTTATTTTATGTTATATGTATGGTTTTTGCCTGCATGTTTGTGTGCCATGTGCATGCAGTGCCTAATAGGGCCAAAAGACAGCACTAGATCCCCCTGGAATCAGAGTTATGAACAGCTGTAAGCCAGCACATGGGTGCTGGGAACCCTGTTGGAGTTCTCTGTAAGAGCAGCAAGTGCTCTTAACTTAAGAGCTGTCTCTTCAGCCCCAGACTCTTGTTCTTCAGACAGAGAGGGGCTGGACCCCAGACTGTATTTTGTACCATCTCTAACTCTAGTTTTTCCTTTCTTTTTTCTTTGTTATTATTAGTATCTCAAGGGCACTGTTCAGTTTAATGATGTAGTTATAGGTCTGCCCCAACAGGGATATGAGAGGAAAAGGGTACAAATTTGGAAAACTGGCACTTAACCTCACTAATAGCGAAGAAGGGCAAATTGAAGTAGAAGTGGGGCTAATTTCAGCCTAATTTATTTTGTATGAGAAAACCCACATGCACAGGGAGGTGGCTCCATTTCCAGTGTCAGATAGGCATGGATATCCCTTGGGCAGGGGATTTTCACTGGGTAAGTAATGGCTACAAAGACGCAGTTCCATTGAGGTCATTTACTCACTGGACACACAGCCTTGGTGCTGCTTGAGTGTTGAGGGAGATTCCTTCCTATGAGTGTTCCACTTAGAGGCTGTGTGCTACTATTTACTCTTCCCTCACTGTCACTCTGATTTCTCTCCCCTGGGGCTAGCTGCAATGCCATCTCTGAGGCAGGGATTCATTCCTTACTGCAGCACCCAGGTATTGTGTCTACAGAGGGGACCCTTTCTCACTATGGCTGTCCAGATTCCCTGGTAGCAGCCATCTGCTTACTCTCTGTCCACGGCAGAACAGCTGACTTCATTACTAGGATTCACATTCTCCCCATCTCCTCTTAGTGACCTAGATAGTCCATCCCTCCAGCCTGAGGGATGCAGGCTTTCCTTAGCAGCCCTCCTCCTTTCTGAAGACCATGTCTGGAGGAAACAGGCACAGCACTCCCTCAGTCTCCATCGCCCAACCCTGATCCCACTCCCTTCCCAGCAGCCTGGAGGCCCTGAGCAAATAAATCCATGGTCATGACCTTTCTTGAAGTCCCCCTGGACCTGGTCAACTCCAATCTTGATGCCCTTCAGGTCTCGGAGTGTACCCTTTTAAATCTAAGTCCTGTGAGCTTTGCCTGGGCAGGGAGGGGTGGGGAAGGAGGTCACAGACCAGAGTTCAGCATTCTCGGGCTCTGCCCACTGCCTGCTATTGATTTTCTCCTGTCCCTCCCTCTTCCCTGGCCCCATAAAGAAGCCACAGTAGTAAAACTGTCAGGAATCCTCTCAAAGGAAGATGCCTTGAATGGGAGTCTTGTCAGTGGCTTTTAAACAAAGGCAATGATGGTGCTGTGGGAGTGTCTGGTGTTACTGAGGTTGTCGGGGAGGATGGATTGAGAGATCCACTTTGTCAAGGGTGTGGTTGCTCTTCTTGTAACTAAGTGGAATACTGGGGCTGATCCCCCACCCCCCCAAATCACATTCTTCTGCTACTCACACTGCTGGTTCTGTTTCTGGATGCTGAATATGAAGGATCAACTTACAGTGTCTGTGGCTTCTTGGATTGCATTCTCTGTCCCGCGCTACCGTCTCGCCAGCAAGAACGACGCAGAACACTCGGATCCTTCTGCAGTAAAGCTTTAATGCATCTTGAGAGATAGATGATCAGCTTCTTAGAGGGAGACCCCAAGCTAAGAAACCCAGCCCCTTATATAAGCCTAGGAGCTCCGAGTGAGATGTGTAGAGCCGGGATTGGTGGTTTGCACATCACCCCAGATGACGTCACGGGAGAGGCACAGTTTAAACGGTTAAC